CCCCCCCCCCCCCAGCGCCCTTCCCTCCTCCTCCTCAAGAGCTGCGCTCCAATTCGGCGTTACAGGGAGTTGTAAGCGGCTTTCACATTTTTATTTTAGAAATTGACAAAGATTGAGGTATTCGGCACTTCTCAACTCCTTCACCATCTTCCGAGTCACGTGCGCTGTGACGTCAATGGGGGTCGCGCGGGGTTCCGGTGAAGCTCTCTCTCTCTAGAGCCATTGGTGAGCAGCGGGAACTCAACCGCTCACGGCCACGTTTGTGTCGTTTCATGACGTATACATGCAGAGGAAAAAAACTCGGGACTAACACGGGTAATGACTTGATGCATGCATTACGTTTATTGAATGATCAATATCTTTCCGGAATAGCGGGCATTAAGAAAATAATAAGGCATTTTTCCGTTTGCTCACTTTTAGAGCGCAGCTCTTAGGGGCCTGTTTCCAGCTTGAGCGGCGTCGGCGTAGCCGCGCGGTGCATTATGGGTAAAGTTCCCCGCTAAATCTAGCGGAAAAATTTTCCCGCTAAATCTAGCAGAAAAAATTCCCCGCTAAATCTAGCGGAAAAATTTTCCCGCTAAATCTAGCGGAAAAATTTCCCCGCTAGATTTAGTGGAAAAATTTCGCTAAATAGCGCAAAACTTTTCCCCGCTAGATTTAGCGGAAAAAATTCCCCGCTAAATCTTGCGAAAAAATTTTCCCCGCTACATCTAGCGGAAAAATTTCTCCGCTAAATCTAGCGGAAAATTCTAGCGGGAAAAATTCCCGCTAAATCTAGCGGAAACATTTCCCCGCTAAACCTAGCGGAAAATATTCCCCGCATAATCTAGCGGAAAAATTTTCCTGCTAAGTCTAGCGGAAAATTTTCCCCGCTAGATTTAGCGGAAAAAATTTCCCGCTAAATCTAGCGGGAAAATTTTCCCGCTAAATCTAGCGGAAAAAATTCCCCGCTAAATCTAGCGGGAAAATTTCCCCGCTAAATATGGCGGGAAAAATTCCCCGCTAAATCTAGCGGAAAATTTTCCCCGCTAAATGTAGCGGAAAAATTTCTCCGCTAAATCTAGCGGAAAAATTTCTCCGCTAAATCTAGCGGAAAAATTTTCCCGCTAAATCTAGCGGAAAAAATTCCGCGCTAAATCTAGCGGAAAAAGTTCCCCGCTAGATTTAGCGGGAAAAATTCCCCGATTTAGCGGAAAAACTTCCCCGCTAAATCTAGCGGAAAAAAATTTCCCGCTAAACCTAGCGGGAAATTGTTTCTGGGGGGTCACGTGACCCCCCAGGGTCACATGACCCCCCCCCCCCCCTGAGGTCACGCTACACCCCCCCCCCCCCCCCCCGCCCCGAGAACAGGTAACCCTCAGTACCCTTCCCTCCTCCTCCTCAAGAGCTGCGCTCCAATTCGGTGTTACAGGGAGTTGTAAACGGCTTTCATTTTTTACGTTTCCAGTTGAATGGCCAAGAAATATGTATTCGCTAGTCATACACTGTAAACAACTTTATTTTCGCTGACTTAATATTTCGCGAAGTTTGCGCAGTGCGGATTTTGTAATTATTTTGTGACCACGAAATATTTCGAGTTAGAGTGATATGCTAATTTTTATGGTATTGAAGCATTTAAGTAAGGGAGGGGGTGGGGAAGAGTTGGGGTTGTTTGAATGCAATTTATGGAATAAATAAAAACGGGGTTTCACTTTCAAAATGGGAAGTAGAACGAGCCAACTAACATAATCTATTACTTTCCGAACTTCTTTTTATAGCAAAAAGGTCAATGAATTAAAAGCTGGCTATTCACCGCGTGGAAAGAAATATTTTCGGCGTTTGAAATGAAAGAAATGTGTGAAATATTGCAAACACCGCACGCAGATAACTTGTGATATGGGGTGCGGTTGATAATTCTACTAAAACGTTAAATAAGAATAACGTGAAACAAAAGAATAACATTACACGCCATTAACCATTAATTAAACCATTTAATAATAAAATTAAAAAAAAACCTGGCCTGCACAGGGATCGAACCTGTGACCTTCGCGTTATTAGCACGACGCTCTAACCGACTGAGCTAGCAGGCCAGACGTGATGTAGTGCTTCGGCGGGTGTGGAAATTTGATAGATTATATCAACTGCATTGCGGTAACAACGCTGTACTACGATATATATATATATATATAAAACACGCTTACACACAACGCATTACACATTTTAGTTTTGACATACCAGGATTTTCGGTATAGATGTTCAAAACCGCCGAACAAACGGAGAGTGCAGATTCGTCGTTTCTTGGCGCTAACCATTTTCTGAATAGTTTTTGAGATTCATAGATTGCCTAGTACGAGTGGGAAAAACAGCAAAGGATAAACGAGGGACAAGTGTAAACAAGCACAGCGCTGACTGACAACTCAAGTTTATTTCAGCACGTGACAGCTAGAAAAATACGCACGAAAGAAGCCGAAGAGAAAAGAAAGAAAGAATCAACCCGCTAAGACCTGTCAAAACGCGCCCAAGCATATTAAAAAAAAATTTCCGCATTTCTCAATAAATTCAACTTCGTCCCTGTCCAACTATGGGATCACCTCAGTTGTGCGTAGTGTTACCAAAGGTACAGGGTTGAGAGCGTGGTGCAAACAGCTGGAAAGAAGGGGAAAAGAGGAATTCCTTTCTTACACGGCTATCTTTGCGTGCCTGAAACGACGCTATTTCGCTCATCGTGGCTTGTCACTCAAAATTCCTACAAAGGGGATATATATTTTTTAATCTCCAGCCCGGCGCCTGTACAGCCCTGCACCAAACTGTTGTTTATAACTCTAAATTTTATCAGGAGAGTGCGTTTTTTGTTTGTTCAATTGAACTCTAGACTTTAATGTATTGCCCCCCCCCCCCCCCCCCCCCTCTTCGTAATGCCCTAGAAAGAGGACCCTCAGGATCAGACAAATGAAATAATACAAAAAAAAAAAAAAATACACCGACTCAATTTTTTCACGTCACACTACTACGCAGACGCTTCAGGCGCATCTGGGTTCTGCGCATGCGCACCAGCGCCCACGCCGGGCCAAACGTTGACCTGTTTGTAAATAGCCCGCTTTCGCATTGCAACATAATGCTCGATTAGCATGATGCTCTCAAGCGTAGTTGGAGTGGCGGGCTGGCAGGCGCACTTTTGGAACGGTCCAACATTTTTCTGTCCAGCCATGCACGTTGCTGAGCGGGAAAAGAACAATGAGTAGAGAGATAATGTTATTAATGATATTAGTAGTCCAAGATAACTGAAAACGGGACCGCCATTTCACTAGTAAAAAAAAAATGACGTGCTGTCACTGAAAAAGAAAAAAAAAAAGACTGGCCTGCACAGGGATCGAACCTGTGACCTTCGCGTTATTAGCACGACGCTCTAACCGACTGAGCTAGCAGGCCAGGTGGAAAAGGCAAGGCGTGCTCGAGTCAGTTAATTTAATCGAGCATTATAATCTCAAAAACAAGCGAAAACACGCTCGCATGCCATATTTCCGGTTCTAGCAATTTCGTCACTGACTAAAGGTTCAATCTTGGCTTGAACCCATGCCTGTTTCGATCTGAATGAGAATAGCACCGGCACGCGATCGTGTCATAAGGGAGTTTTCGTAGACCGCGTTTCCGCCTCCGCTAAGCCCAACGCAACGAAGCCTGAATCTTCGCGCCTATGGCCTTGACTGTAGAGTTCAGAGTATCGTAGCGGGTAACGGAGGGCGTTGCGGGACGGCGAAAACCATCTACGAAAACTCCCTACTACCTCCGCTTCCGCTGTCTGCCGGTGTACGGGGGCCGAAGGCTTGCGAAACTGCCACTTAGTCACGATCATCTGGTGGGCTAGTTGGTTGATCATATTGTTGAATTAACAGCGCAAATACGACAGGAAGGAGAGAAAAGGGAGACAGGATAGTAGGCTGAACTAACAACTGACGTTTAATAAAAAGAGGAAGAAGAACCGAAGAATGCTTTTAAAACATGCATAATGAAAACCCGCAAAAACATATGCTATAGCTTGAGTTGCCTGAAAATGGATTGCTAAGAATACCAAGCTTTAAGCTGGTCGCTTAAATGACTCGTTGAAATCGATTGAGTCCTGGGACGACGTGAATAGAAATTCCGGTAGAAAAAAGAAAGAGGAAGTTTACGTTTAAAATATTCACCGAATCTAAAGGGGTATTCACACGAGGGAGAAATCCCGGGGATTTCTCCCCGACACGCGCGCATCACGAGATGAAAACGCGAGGCTTTTGCACATCGGAAAGCCTGTCGTTTTCGTCGCGGGATGCGCGTGCCGGGGAGAAATCCCCGGGATTTCTCCCTCGTGTGAATACCCCTTAAGGACCGTTAAAGATCGCGACTTAAAAAGTAAAGTTCTTTTTGTGACAAGGCCACGAACGTTGTCGTTCGCTGGTAGTCTGGTACCCTCCTATTGCCGGCCGTGATTGGTTGTCTCTGTGTTCTGTAGGAAAGTAAGCAGCAGGAAAGCAAATTGTGAAAGGAGGCATATATTATGCGCAGCCGCCATTAGTTCGTTTCGTCGCTTCCGGCGCCAGGCTCGCGTGATTGGTTCCGAGTTCTCGTCGAGCACTGACGCAGCACTCGTGGGCGAATGCGTATCGATCTACACTCCGAATGCTGACGAAGCGCTCGTGTACAACGCGTGCTCACGGTGGATGACCAGCTAATGGCCGCCGCCCATTATCTGCGCCTCATTTTGAAGTTTCGTAAACGGTTTCATTGCGTACACGAGCAAACGCAAGCACCGTTACGTTTGCGTTAGCGTTTCGCGTTCCACACTGAGCGTGCGCGGACCCCTAAACTGCGCATGGCAACGACCCGGATGCACATAGAATTAGGAGAGCGTGTTGGTTAAACATCTTGGTGTGCGAACGCAGAAGGAGTTTGGCATGGAACACGCCAGACTATCGCAAACGCACAGTGCTTGCGTTTGTTCCTATATATATATACGCAATTCTAAAACTCTCTATTTATTTCAAACTGTGCGGGGCGTTTGGAGTAAGCCTCTTCTTCGGGATGGTTCACGCCGGCGGTTTTTAAGGAGCTTGAGCCGGAGTTGCGACGACGGGGACGCCTGTCGCCTCCTTCCTGTCGTAGTTCCTTCCTCCGTCTCTTTCGTGGGCCCTCTGCCCTCCTGGGTGTCGCATGATCATTGCTTCGATTTCCCAGTCGTTCATGACGCACGCCTGTTCATAAGAGAAAGAAAAGAAAATTTCCGATGACACCTAAGCACTTCTTATGAGTTGTAAATGCGAAAGCATAAGTGTGCAATTGAACACCGATGAACACTCCTTAGTGCCCTCGGCGACGAGAGGAAGCGCCGGCGGGAGTGTGGGGCGCGACATGGCTGAAAGCATAGCGTAGAACACAACAGCCGCGCGAGCTCCACCCTCTCTCTCTTACCGGCGCTGAGAGGGCTTCTATGTGTGGCGTTGCTTCGAACTACGCGTCGCAGCCATTTGAAGAGCCGTTTCACGGAGGGAATTTCTCAGCCATTTGTTCGCGGTCACGGCGCGGAGGGAATTTCTCTGCCGTTTTTCGCGGTTACAGACAAGGCCGGCTCTGCTCCATGGGACAGTTAATGCGTTCGCATTAAAATTTCGCAGAGACCTTTACTATTGAAGTTTTGTAATGCATGAAATGCAGTTTTTAACGAGATACCATTTAAACCTGTTTAGAAGACATGCATACAGTCATATCAGGGTGTGAGATATATAACCTGAGACATATAACTTCATCAAGTTGTCAGCCACATTTGGCGGGGAAAAATAAACTAGTCATATATATAGGTCACGTGACAACGAGTCACGGGATTTCAAAAATTAGAGGTGAAATTCAATTGGCGTATGAGGTCACGTGACCTCGATTTAGCGGGAAACCGAAAGTCACGTGGCATTACTGCCTTCGCAAAATGTAGCGTGAAGACTGTGGGGATTGTGATCCCTCAACATTCTGTCGCGTCAGCGTTTTGGCGCGCCGTGCCGGCCGCGCTGGCGTAGCGAGAGGCGGCGCTGCTTACCGCTGTGAGTGGCTTCCTCCTCTCTCCCCTTGGGGCGATTTCCGTAACGAACCCCCGCACAAAGGAGATCGACGTGTCGCTCCTTGATTGGCCACTTCGCCCCCGCCGTTATCTTAAAACCAGCGGACAGCAGTCTCGCTTCTCTCTTCTTCCTGGGATTCGGCGGCGGCGACAACGGGGACCCTTCCGGCGCACCGGTGAGCGTTTACCCCGTACTTTGTACCTTTGTGAACGACCGTTCGGCCGTGGGCGATCTCCACACCGACGGCGTTCACCAGCTTATAGTCGCTGTTTTGTTGTTATTTTGTTTCATTGTAAATAAACAGTTTATCACCGTTACCAACGTGACTGGTGTCTGTTTGCGCTCAACGAGCAGCATGCCACGCGAGTACGAACCCGCTTCGCGGTAGAGCGTCTCGCCGCGAACGTGGTACTCCCAAAGGCAGTGGCCCCAAGGAGAACCACAATTTGGCGCCCAACAAAAGGGCTGACGACCAGAACCCTGGTACGTCTGTGTGTGGCGACTGCTGCCGAGTGACGAGTCCTCGCGCAACCAGCGCTTACCGTGACAATGCAGACCGACTTCTCGGATTTGCTCACGCTGGCGACCCCGGCCGACGCATTCGCGCGGCCCCCACTTCAACGGGAAGCCGAAATGCCAACCCTCCAACGAGAAGCGCCCTACGGCGCACGCCTGGAGCCGAGCGTGGTTCCGACGCCATTGCGGACGGGCGCCATCGCTCCCGGATCTTCCCTGAACGCACGTGCTCCGCCGCCGGCACAAAGCGAAGCCTACCGGTCTCCCCACGGAGAAACCGCTGCGGCGCCTCACCACACCTTGCTCGAAAACGCGGCACGTGTGATTGAGAGTCTGACAGGTGCGTTGCGAACGACAACACTCGCACCACAGGCCCAACGACCTCCGGTCCGGATTCCCGTCCCGACTTATCGGGGTTACGCAGACAAAGCGAGCGCTACGGACTTCCTTAACGATTTACGGAAGTACCAACGCGCGATGGGAATGTCCGATCGTGAAATACTTGAGCGCATTCTGCCAATCGCGCTCGTCGACGAAGCCGCCCGCTGGTTCCGACTTGTCGGTGACCAACCCGGAACGCTCGATCAGTTCCGAGAAGCGTTCCGCCGCGAATTCCTTCCCGCCGACTACGAGAGAAGGATGCGGCGGGAGCTCGAACAGCGAACCCAGCATCCGGACGAGTCCCTGCTGGAGTTCGTACGAGCCATGCAAGAGCTCTTCGAGCTCGCAGAACCCTCAGCTCCCAATGCAGAGCGAGTGGAACGCGTCATACGCCAAAGCCATCCGACTTTCGCTGCGTATCTTCGAGGCAGCCGTTTCCGCGACCTGAACGAGCTCGCCTCCGAGGCCCGGCGCCTTCAGGGTGACATTCTCGCTGCCCGTGCGTACCGGCCTCCGCCTCCAGCGTCAGCGGCCCTCGAACCGCGCTGCGCGTGGAGCGGGGACACGCCATCTCGAGCACCAAGGCGCTACGATTCCGCAAACTATGCGGAAGATCGGGGCCGAGACACGTACGCAATCTCAGATCGTGCGCTCGACCCGTACTCCTACGGTAGACGAACAAGCCGGCCGACGCCGCAGTTCAGAACCACCGACTCGCGCCCCAACGAGGCAGCGAGGCAGGAGGAAACGAGGATCCCTCAATCTCAGCGAGCCAATGCACGCTACGACAGAGCCGGCGAAAACCAAAACGCACGGCGGAACCCCCAGCGAGGTGACGACAGAAGATGTTTTCGGTGCAATCGCCCCGGTCATCTCGCTCGCCAGTGCCCGGAGCGGCCGAACACGGAATCGCACCGTGCGGGAAACGAGCAAAGCCACCGGTAAACGGCCCTTGGACGGACGGACCGGTGGCTAACAAAGAATCAGAGGGTTCCATGGCCACTCTTTTGCCGACCGCCTACAGAATAGGCTTCCCGACCGGCACGCCGGCCCCGTTCATTTCTGTAACGATCGCCGGCAAGGCATTCAAGGCACTCCTCGACACCGGAGCAAGCGCTTCGATGTTCGGCGACGAAGTGTTGACTCACCTCCGACAGAATTCTGTCCGACTCCGAGAATGCAACACTGCCTTTCGCCTAGCCTGCGGAACCGCCCTTTCGGCTGGTACCGCGCGGCTGGTCGCGAGATGGGAGAATCGAGTAAGACGACAACGCTTCGTTCATCTCCCTGGCCTATCGGTGCCCATTATTTTGGGCAGAGACTTCCTTGCCAAAACAGGCATTGTAATCGACGTCAGCAGCGCAGGCTATCGGGAGGGCACGTTTGCACCCCTGAAACCCTTCTGCGAACCCCCGGCCGTACCGCCAACGCCACCATTGGCGCACGCGACGAGCCGTCGAGAGGAAGCGAAGGACTCCCTAAACCGGGTCATTGACCCCAAGACAGCGAGTCCAGCGCCGATGGCAGCAAGCGCCGCCCCCATCGGGGAAATGACGCACCCACTGCTCACGCAATCATGCAGCGTGTCAGGGCGAGAAAAAGCCCGACTGTCGTCGTTGTTGCGCCGCTATGACGCAATGTTCACGGACCGACCGGGCTGCACAAACGAAGTGCGACATCGCATTGACACGGGCGACGAACTGCCAAGAAGGCAGAACGCGCGACCCGTAAGCTTGGCTAAACGAAAAGCCATCGACCGTGCCCTGGACGAAATGATCGACACCGGAGTTGTCCGGCGATCTAACAGCCCCTGGGCATTCCCCGTGGTGCTGGTCCCGAAGAAAGACGGCAGCTCACGTCTTTGCGTGGACTACCGCCGTCTGAACGACGTCACACGAAAGGACGCCTACCCGCTACCGAGCATCGACTCGATTCTGTCCAACTTGGGCAGTGCGCGGTACTTCACCACCCTGGACGCTAGCCGAGGCTACCTCCAGGTTCGGATGGAGCCAGGTGACGAGGCAAAAACAGCCTTCTGTTGTCACCGCGGGCTTTTCGAATTCACACGAATGCCCTTCGGTCTGTGCGGAGCGCCTATGACGTTCCAGCGATTGATCGACCGAGTACTGGGAGAAGCCAAATGGAAACACGCAATGGCCTATCTCGACGACATTGTCGTCTACTCCAACACCTTCGAAGATCACCTACGTCATCTCGAGGACGTACTCGACCGGCTAAAAGCCGCGGGAATGACCCTGAACCCCGAAAAGGCCCAAATAGCCGAAACCCGCATCGCCTTGCTCGGGTTCGAACTGGATCGCGGGCGCCTTGCGCCACATCCCGACAAACTAAAGGCAATCCTGGAGTTTCCGGCGCCAACCGACGTGAGCTCCCTCCGTCGCTACCTGGGAATGGTGAACTTCTATCGCCAATTCATCCCAAACTGCGCGACGCTTCAAGCACCACTGACACGCCTATTGCGAAAGTCCGTGAGTTGGAGCTGGGGTCCCGAGCAGGAAGCGGCCTTTCGCCGCACCTCCCGAGCGCTCGCGGACACAGCTGAACTCAAGCTACCCGACTTGAACAAGCCCTTTCTGATCCAAACAGATGCCAGCAATCTTGGCTTGGGCGCGGTCCTGCTCCAACAGCACGAAGGTGTACTCCGACCGGTGGCCTTCGCCAGCCGCTCGTTGACGCCAGCTGAAAGGAACTACAGCACATGCGAACAAGAGTGCTTGGCCATCGTCTTTGCACTCCGGCGCTTCGACATTTATGTCGACGGGACCACTTTCGTGATCGAAACAGATCACCAAAGCCTAATATGGCTCTCCCGACTTCGCGAACCCGCTGGTCGCTTGGCAAGATGGGCTTTGATGCTGCAAAAATACGACTACGTCGTGCGGTACCGGAAAGGCAGCACAAACGTGGTGGCGGACGCATTGTCACGAGCCCCCGTAGACTGCACACAAATTTCCGCAAAGACCCAGGCCGAGCCAACGACATCCACATTGTCAGGCGAAGCCGTGACTCAGTCCCAAAGGGAGGCAGCACATCTGACCACCCCGGACGAGACGATCAACCACCTAGACGCAGTGAGCGCCGTGGGAATCGTGTTCAGCAAAGAAGAGCTTCTGAAAGCCCAGCAGAATGATCCGTTTTGTCGAAAGGTGATCGACGGACTCGCGGAAGAGTCGGACGCCGTGGAGGCGGGTGGTGCGACCGCCGGGCGCAACACTACTGGTATTGTAGTAGGCGCCGAGTGCCGGGACGTATCTGGTATCGGAGGATTCATATCTGCTGAGCAATGACGGGCTCTTGCTGACGTACATACCCTCCGAGAACGACTCCGACGAGGCGTTCAAGGTAGTGGTACCCCGCAGTCTGAGAAACGCAGTTTTGCGCTACTATCACGACTCGCACTTGGCCGGACACGCGAGCGGCTCCAAGACTTACACAAAGTTATGTCGCATCGCCACTTGGCCGGGCATGAAACGGGACGTTTTCCGTTATGCCCGCACCTGCCACTCTTGCCAAAGCTTCAAACCAAGAGGCGGCAAACCCCCGGGCCTAATGCAACCGATTCCGAGCCAGCAATCATGGTCTCTGGCAGCCTGCGACGTGGTCGGCCCCCTACCGAGGAGCCCTAAAGGACACCAGTATCTACTGGTTGTAACTGACCACTTCAGCAAATGGACGGAACTTTTTCCGCTCCGTAAGCTGACAGCCCGAGCGATCACGGAGAAGCTCATGGAGGTTTTCACCCGTTTTGGGTTCCCCGAAGCTCTTTTGACTGATCGAGCGAGCTACTTCGTCGGGAAGGTATTCGTGGACGCGTGCAAGGCCCTTGGCATAAAGCACAAAACAACCACGCCATACCACCCGCAGTCGAACATCACGGAGCGATGTAACAGAAACATCAAACCAATGCTGGCCGCCTTCGCGGAAAGGCACCGTGACTGGGACTCATATATCCCCGAGATCGGGTTCGCACTTCGGACCACTCTCAACCGTTCGACGGGTTTCACCCCCGCTTTCCTCACATTCGGGAGAGAGCTTCCGAACCCCATGGACCGTGTCCTAGGGGGGAGCGCCGGGGTGGACAACGCGCAGCCGACGCAAACGGACCACGCGCGACAGCTACAAACTCGGATGACGGAAGCCTTCTCAGAGGCGCGTCGCAATCTCGGGGTAGCGCGAGCGAAACAAAAAGCTCAGTACGACCGCTCGCATCGAGATCTCCGCTACAAAGTGGGCGATCTCGTCCTCAGACGCAACCATGTTCTGAGTGATGCCAGCAAAGGCTTCTCGGCCGCTTTGGCTCCGAAGTGGTGTGGCCCGTACCGAGTGCAGGAACTTCTCTCCCCACTCGTGTACAAGCTGACAAACTTGCAATCAAGAAAAGTCAGTGGGCCGGTACATGTGTGCGATCTGAAACCCTACCATGAGAGGGAAAACGGGGCCAACGAGCAAACTCAGCCCCCGCAGAAACATGCACACGCAGCGCGAGATAACGCCGACGATGAACAACAGGCGTCTCGCTACAATCTGCGTAGACGGAGGAACTATTATCCGAAGTTTTCGTAGAGGCAGCCTCTGTAAGTGGCGAAATGTCACATTAAGGGAAGTGCAAAGCACAATACACCTGCTGCCTTCGCGAACGCGCCAGACACCATTGTTTACTGGCAAGCAGTGACCTCCATACGTCACCTCGGCGTTCGCTCCCGGATGAACCCGTAGGGGAATCCCCCAAACACGGCTTCCAAGGGAAAGGGTACGCGTAACTGCCATTGGTCAGTTATTGCCACCTACGCTCACGTGTGCCACATGTCAACGCAAGAGCGCGGTGCGAGCGTCGTCACAAGCGGTCGGAGACCAAGTGGTCATTCTACCGCAGTACGTTCCGCACCTACGAAGAGGACCTCCAGCCTTTGCTTCGCGTCGTTCGGGAGCTGCTGCTGTCTCCTGGCTACGGCAGTTCAGCGGTGTCCAGGGACCACGGCTGGGCGTGACTCGTCAGGCAGCCCCTCTACCCCAGCCGGCCGCGGGCCAAACCAGTAACCCGTCGTTTTCGTGGGCCGTCAAGATCGACATCCGGCCAGCGACTGCCCACTCGTCATCTTCGGCACCCGCGCAGCGGTCGGAAAGCTCGCCGACCAGGGACTAGCTGTTCCCGTTCGTCCCGTAACAAGTGCCGAGGGACCCAGGGACCTGGCGCAGTTCGCTCAGCAGGGCTCGTAGGGCATGCACTACATCGGCAGCCGAGGGATAATCGACCGGGACCTGGCCGCCTGGAACGTGCTCGTCGATGAACACGGCTGCTACAAGGTCGCCGACTTCGGCCTCTCCAGGAGCACTATGGACTCCGAGACGGACCTCTACCACCAGTGTCCAAGTGCGCCCTCCCGGTGCGGTGGATGGCTCCGGAGTGCGTGCAACTCCTGGTTTCCCCTTTCAAGTCCGACGTCTGGGCGTTCGGCGGACTACTGCTGTGGGACATCGTCACTTTGGGCTCGACGCCCTACCCCGGCCGGGGCGCTCAGGAGGTGACCCGCTACGTGCGCGACCGTCACAGGATGACGTGGCGGAGCGACTGCCGCTGGGAGCTGTACTGTACTGCTGGTGAGGGACCGCTGGACGAACTTTTGAAGCATGGACCTATGAGCCGGGCTGTTGTTTCCCGTGTAGTTGTAGCCGCTGGCGGCCTTGTTCTTTTTTTTATTATTTTAGTCTTGTTGTGTGTTTGTGTTGGTCCACCCGTTTGCGGGTGACTATTGGCTAAGGAGGGGGGAGTGAGGGGATTGTGATCCCTCAACATTCTGTCGCGTCAGCGTTTTGGCGCGCCGTGGCGGCCGCGCTGGCGTAGCGAGAGGCGGCGCTGCTTACCACTGTGAGTGGCTTCCTCCTCTCTCCCCTTGGGGCGATTTCCGTAACGAACCCCCGCACAAAGGAGATCGACGTGTCGCTCCTTGATTGGCCACTTCGCCCCCGCCGTTATCTTAAAACCAGCGGACAGCAGTCTCGCTTCTCTCTTCTTCCTGGGATTCGGCGGCGGCGACAACGGGGACCCTTCCGGCGCACCGGTGAGCGTTTACCCCGTACTTTGTACCTTTGTGAACGACCGTTCGGCCGTGGGCGATCTCCACACCGACGGCGTTCACCAGCTTATAGTCGCTGTTTTGTTGTTATTTTGTTTCATTGTAAATAAACAGTTTATCACCGTTACCAACGTGACTGGTGTCTGTTTGCGCTCAACGAGCAGCATGCCACGCGAGTACGAACCCGCTTCGCGGTAGAGCGTCTCGCCGCGAACGTGGTACTCCCAAAGGCAGTGGCCCCAAGGAGAACCACAAGACTGAATCTGTGTATCGGTGGACTTCGAGCCACGTGACTTCAATTTTATCGCTAAGTTTATCCGAAAATGCACGAACCGACGGACGGACGAACAAAAGTGTGGGATTGGGGGCTCCGTTAAAAATCATTCGATGCTTTTAATGTTGAAAAGCGAGCCGCCGCACTTACCTCCACTCTCTCCAAAAGCCGCCTCATCCGTCTGAGATAAAGGATACCCTGCAAGTAGATTGAAAGACATATTTCAAAATTATGGTTCGGAAGGAAAACATAAATAAATCCAAGACGAAGATGAAAATCTTTAGGCTCCTGCCAAACCTTAGTGAGCGGAGAGGCCTTCGAGTTCTGGGACGAGACGAGGCTCCAACTGAAAGGTTGTCCCTCAAATTTAGCGGAAAACCTTTCCCATTAAGTTCGGGGTCAAAATTAGGGAGTTTCCGTAGACCGCATTCCCCCGTCCGCTAAGCCCTCCGGAACGAAGAAGCCCCTACTGCGCCTGCGCGCCCATAGCCTTGACTGTAGAGTTCCGGGCATCGTAGCCGGTTGCGGAGAACCTTGCGGGACAGTGAAAACCATCTACAAATACTCCCTATTGGGGAGTTTTCGTAGATCGTAGAGTTTTCGTCGAGTTTTCGCAACGAAGAAACCGCCACTGCGCCTGCCTGTCGATGGCTTTGGCTGGAAAGTTCCGGATAGCGGACGGGCTTAGCGGAAGGGGAAACAAGGTCTACTAAAACTCCCTATTATCTACGCTGCTTCTGGGACATCGCATCTGTCCGTGACGGTCCATCCCTTATCGGAATCGAACACACCCAAAGAACGAAATCTCGGTTAAAGATCCTGTGCGTTCACTTACAAGCATAACACGCAGATAGCCAATCACTGCGAGCTACAAAAGGATCCCAGCAAGCGACGATGCTCCGAATGATCAGACCAAAACACATTGATTGGCGCGGAAACACTGTAAGTAAATGCCCAATTCTCCCAGCGCACGTGACACCTTCCGCGTCTAATCGTATGCTGGGCAAATATGGCGACCAATATTCACTGGACGCCATATTTGAGGGCGATGTTTAGAGTGCATGCACAGAATCTGAGATGCCAGTAATGACATTACTGTAAATAAATTACTTTTTGTGGTAATGAGTGATGTAATGAATTACTTTTCCAAGCAGGTAATTTAGTAATTTAATGAATTACTCTCAGGCAGTAATTTGGAAACAAATTACTCATTACACTATGGAATTACTTTTGTCCGAAATTATATGGTTTGTTTGCGAGCTCAGAAGAAAAAACATACTTTGCACAATGAAGTATTCTGGAAAAAACAAACAGCCAGAGTAAATAAATTACATCTGAGCGCAAAGCCTCGTACGAGGAACACGACAGACGCACAAAGGCAGGCTCGAAAGGCCAAGGAGATGGAGAAAAGCTTTTGTGTCGAGAAATCGCTGGAAGGCCAAGAATCACGAACTACAGGCAAGACAGATTCACGGAGTCACATCATCATGATCCACGTCATTACGACGGTACTCTACTTCCTTCACCCCTAAGCTGACAGTGCGGTACGAGCTAGCAGCGAACCAGAACCAATCAAACATCTTTCTTTCATCACCTGACCCCTTCTCTGCTCGTGGGTAGGAGCGATAGCGTGGTAACGTGGCGAAAGATACACCTGCGACTGGTCCAACGAGCACGTAGCTTCCCCCGCATTATCATCTTAGGGGTGAACGGCTTTTAGGCTACAGTGTGACGTGCACGTCACCAGTAAGGTCAACACGTTTTGAAACCTGTGAACAGGAGACGCAGATTTCCGGCCTTCTTGCTCTTTCGCCAAGCAAGGTCAAACCGCAAGCTTCGACCATCGCGAACAACAAACGACCGGAATAAATAGTTAATCCGAAATGCCGCATAAAGGCCTCAAATCGTTTTTTTTGTGTAGCCTTGGCAAGTAAAGATGCTTTTAGTCGAAAAAGACGGGAAGCGAGTAAAGCAGGTGCCGCTCGCGGTATGCCTCTCTGTCTTTCCTTAGAGAGTTTAGTCGGGAATTAGAAAACGAACTAATTTGCCACCCGTCAGGTGGGAAAGTACACACTTTATAAAGTTCGCGCCATTTCTTTCCTCGACGAGCGACGCCTCTGCAGCCACGGCCCCTCGGGATCGAGCGGCCGTGGTCCAGCAAACGTTCAGCCCCCTTGTGTGACGACGCACAAGGAGGGCTCTTCGGATGTTTTGGAACAACACTCCTCGCAATGAATGCGCAATAATGCAGCTAGTGTTCTTGGGTGAAAATGATCGGACTGCGTGCTAGACGGAAGGGAAATCTTTCACATGACGACTTCTTGAAAGAACGAGCTCGCATGGCCGGCTTAAGTTACTGGCACGGACTATAACTATAACTGTTCAGTACGGTTCACGTTGAGGCGTATGAGGCATGTTACGGTGTAAACAGGAATATTGGACTCGTGGTACATATCCCGTAAATAAAATTAGCCCAAATTACTGCCTCAAGGTATTGAAAAGTGATAACAAAGTAATCTAATTCCTTTTGGAATGTAATTGTAATGCAATGTCAAACTAATCTAATTACTTTTGGAATGTAATTGTAATGTAATGTCCTTACTTTTGGTCAGCGGTAATTTGTAATGTAGTTTAATTACATGTTCGCTGTTTACAGAAAAATAATTAGTAACGAAATTTCATAACTTTTTCAGAGCAATATTGCAATCTCTGCTCAGAACGCAATCGGCAATCGCGCTGGTGCGGAATGCACGTTGCAAAAGAACTGCCGATGGTGGTGGAGCTCGCCGTGAGCTCGAGCTCAGCAGCCGCACACTCCGCTATGGCGCCAGTGAATACTGCCTATAGGAGGTATTCACTGGACGCCATATTTGAGGGTGGTGTTTAGAGCGCATGCTCAGAACGAGCTCACATTACTAGCCTGCTAAGACCGGCAACCTTGATGGTGCTAAATGCACGCTCCAAAAGGACTGCGGAAGCTCGCCGTCAGCACGCGCTCAGCAGCAGCGCACTCCGTTATGGCCGCCAGTGAATACTGCCTATACTTCGTTTCAACTTGAGTCAGAGCGCAGCCGAAGCCTGAAGAGCACACAAGCACACGAACACAGATTACGAACACAGCAATGAACGCTCCCCCCATATACTTTTGTGGAAAGGTGTACAGAGAATTGCAAGCGGAGAATCTGACAGCCGCCGTGTCTCTGCATGCCCGTGCGGGCAAGTGCGTGCAATTACAAGCTTGCCAAAGCTACGTTTACGCGCACACTGCACATGCTTGCACGGATGGGGCACCGAAGGCGGGAGGGCCGCCTGCTGTCATTAGTGCGATCCAGGTGGCGCTACCGTCGACGCACGAGCTCCAATGTCAATGGATGTTGAGCTATGATAAGATTATCGGGATTCGCCACTCCTTGTCTTTCGGGAGCGTTCAGCGTTTATGCAGCGACTCTTTTATAAGTTCCAGTTGTTTTCCTTCTTGGCAAAGGGACTGCGCTATATCTGATCGATATAGATATATGTAAAAAAGAAGCGGCGAACAAAATGACTTGTGAGAGGGGTAGCGACTAGCAAATGTGTACCCGCTCGCTAGGTGCATTGCTGAAACTTGAGAGCTACAGATTGCAATCTTTCGGTCAAAAACTCCCGCCAAAATTCTGGGTAGTTCGTTCTTTCCCCGTCGGATGGCGGGTCACTCTCGTGGCCTGCCATATGACGCGAGGGCGCCTTCCGCCACAGGAATTTGATTTTCTTTTACAGATGATGTTATTCAAAACAGATAACCATTCAATTTATTGGGCAGGGTACCCACCTTCCCCCCCCCCCCCCCCAAAAAAAAAAAAAGAAAAGAAATAACAAAAAAAACATGTCTTTTATTTTTATCTAGCGGTCGAAACCAGATGCCAAAGTTATGAGATGAACCGTCATCTTAATAAGAAGTTTTTTTAGTGTCCCTTATATATATATATATATGAAAAGGTCAACACAACACGAAGTCACAACCACAGCTGAAATTTATTGGAAATTTCACCTATGTTTGAAACTTCGTGTTGTGTTGTCCTTTCCCCCCTCCCCTCCCCTCCCCCCCCCCCCCCCCCCCCCCCCCCCCAGCCTCGGGGTTTTGTCTAAAATTGTTTTCGTGCCTAACTAAATCGTATATGTCACAGAAAAAAAAAAAAGCTTTCACCTACAAAATAAAAAGTGTGCATTATTTACGTTGCGAGACTTGTTTCGGTGAATCCGAAACGTAGTTCTATTTCAGCTTCAACGTCCGGAATCGCTCCCTCCTAATACAATATGAGTCTTCCTCCATGCATATTGCGATACTATTTTTTTTTTCGCGGCATGTTTATTTTGTGAGACACGCGTGTTTTACCTAGCCATTTATTAACATGTTTTGTGGGGGCTAAGTGTCATTTTAAGAAACGAAACGCCGTAACGCTGAATTTGTTGGTTTGATTGTTTTTCTTCGCGTTATTTCGGCTCTATTATTACTCCTTCATCGAAACTCCCAAGACCTTAACTGTCGCACTAATTGCTTTTTGCCTGTTCTACAAAAAAAAAAAAAAAAAAAAATTAAACGAAGTATGTTTTTTTTTGTTTTTTTTTTATGGTGTGAAGTAAACTTTACGTGTCACGTTAAAACGCCACCATCTTAAAAAATATATCTTTCTTTGTGTGCGTGTGCGTCTCTGTTTTCCACCTAATTCCCTTTTTTTTTTTTTGCCCTTTCCGTGTTTGGATGTTTCCCTGTCTGGCATCCGCCTTCTGTTGCGGATATAAGAGCAATCGCAGTATATGACACCTCATCAGTAAATCCTCATAATATTGAAGTGGGGAACCAGGAAGCAGCGCAGGTGTCATGATCATTCCATACATGTATATCATTTACCGAGACCGTAAGAGTAGCTCCGAAGAGCCTTTGTTTTATGTTGATTTTGATCAACCATTGTGTTTCCTGAAACGCGTGGTGCTCTTTTATTTCTTTGGTTAGACCGGACTTGTACGTAACACGAGTCGGTTTTTCGGTAGCGAAGTAACGACCTAATCACTTTCTAAAAGAAAGAACGAGGAATGTATTTTAATTGCGTTTTGATGAAGTAACGGGTAACGGTATTTAATTACTTCTGCAGGGGAACGTGTAAAACACGTGTGGCCGCCCTAGTTTTCACCCCAGCTCGCGCCTGTAATTTCCACATCGAGAAAACGCTAGATAGACCATAAAAATATGTGCACAGTGAATTCCATCATAGCCACAGTAATTTGAAATGTGTAGTAACCATGCTGTTATTCAGTGCCATATCTCTATTAAATAGCTACCACCTGGTTAATTTTGATATATATATATATATATATATATATATATATATATATATATATATATATATATGTACTTGAAGGTGGTACACTGAACTTCGCGCAATGTACGAAAGCTTGGAAAGCTTTTTTTTTTTTTACTTTATGTGTGCTTTTGAGATATGCAAAAATTGAATTAATTTCTTTTTATTTTTCTGATGTTTTTTTGTTTGTGGGTTTATCTTTTTACTTACTTTGTCTTAGTGGAAGCAAACGTCGCTGCTGATAATTCTTTTCTTGTTGTTTTTTGTTTTGTTTTGTGATGGAAGAACCTGGTATTGCATAATTTATTGTATTCTTTTCATTTTACTTTTCTTATCCCTGCTTTGTACTTGAGGGGGACCTAGGACCTGTCAAGCTGCTCGGACAGCTTTGTATCCTCAGTTCCTACCATACTTACAAGGTAAATAATAATATTTACTATTATTATTATTATTATTATTATTACTATTATTATTATCCCATTGAGAAAAAACGTACGCTCTGGGTTTCCCTATTGGTTTTCTCCTGAACTCCGTACGGCTTTGAAGAGAAAGTCGTTTTTGCATAGAAAATTTAAGAAAACAGGCCGTCCTGAATTCGAGTCTAAATTTCAGGAGGTGAGAAGTCGTTGCAGGGCATTGCTTAAGCGTGATAAGCAGGCAGATACCGAAGCAGTAGAGTCAGATCTACAGCGAAACCCTAAAAGATTTTGGAGAGGAGTTAAATCGCGCAGGGGCGATCGCGCAGGAGAAAATGCTATTGTCATAGAAGGGAACGGAGGCTCTACAACTGATGTGTGTAATGTTTTCGCTGATGTCTTTGGTTCGGTTTACACTGTTGATACTGGCGCACTTCCTAATGAGACCCTTCCATGCACGAACACTTTATCAGTTAGTAATATTGCGATAGACGAGGTTACTGTAGAAACTTCTATAAAAGCAATGCGTCCGACGCTATCTGCCGGTCATGACGGCATCCCCCAAGCTATACTCAAGTCTCACGGCTGCATTTTAACACCAGTCCTTTGCGCTATCTTTATTAATTGTCTGAAGTCGGGCATTTTCCCGAGTATTTGGAAAATTGCTGTTGTGGTCCCGATTTTTAAGGCGGGCAAGCGGACTGACGCTTCTAACTACAGACCTATTTCTTTACTCTGCTCGTTTTCTGAGCTCTTTGAAAAGCTCATCCACAGGTCTCTGTCTTTTTCACTTCAAAGGACGATAAGTACCAACCAGCACGGTTTTTTCGCTGGTCGTTCAACGACGACAAATCTTGTGGCATTCGCGGCTGCTGCGTCTAAGGTTGTGTGCGACAGAGGTCAACTTGACGTTATATACTTTGATTGTAGCAAGGCCTTCGACATTGTAAACCACAGTATACTTTTATCTAAGCTCTCTGCAGTTGGTCTTTGCGGTCCGATTTACTGTCTTCTGGAGGACTACCTAAGGGAAAGGGTTTGTTATGTGCGTGCGAACGGGTTTTGCTCCTCCACGTATAACGCAACTTCGGGTGTACCACAGGGTTCCGTACTGGGCCCGTTGCTATTTTCTGTTTTTGTGAATGACGTCGCAAGCGCCATCACCACGTATTCTTTCTTGCTATATGCAGACGATATAAAGATATTTAGAGAAATAGGCGGCGAACCTGACTGCATGGATTTACAGTCTGATATAACCTCGTTTGTTGGCTGGTGCTCACGTAATCACCTGAAGATCAACCAGTCCAAAACAAAAGTCATGACCTACTCTAGAAAAACTGCCACAGTACCATTTAACTACACAATTAACACTAATCAACTATCCCGCGTTGGCGAAATCAGAGATCTTGGTGTTGTATTTGACTCTGCTTTGCGTTTCCAGGGTCATGTTATGCATATTGTGAAGTCTGCGCTGCGCACCCTGGGTCTTGTGTGTCGTGTATCACGAGAATTTCGTGACCCTAAAACATTTTTAACCTTATATTGTTCCCTGTGTCGTTCTCACCTTGAGTATGCATCTGTTGTGTGGGGTGGGACGTGCCACTCTAATCTATTGAGGATTTCTCGTGTACAAGCGAAATTCGTATCTATTTTTAAACACCGTTTCAACTTTGCAAAAGCAGTTGATGACGTGCATAGTTCACCCATTCGACTGCAAGACTTGCAGGGACGCCGAAACACTGCGGAGCTGCTCTTTCTTTATAAATGTATACATGGTCAAATAGATAGCTCCGACATCCTGCATCAGGTTTCTCTGCACGTACCGCGAGTGACGACAAGAAAAACGTCAACCTTCTATCTGTCATCTAGAGTTAATACACTTGATCCAGTATCTCGTGCGGAACTCCTTTATAATAACTCTTCTCTTAATCTCGATATATTTCTTGACAACTTTTCCGATTTTGTTAAATCTGTGCGGAAGCTCTTTTGTGACTTTTGATGAACTTCCTGAATCAACTGCCGGGTTTCCATATGTATTTCTATGACTTGTTGATTTCTTGTTTCTATTTGTACGGAGCTGTATGTGTAGTGTTCAGACGTCTGTTTGCGTCCAAGTGAAGCATCCATATGTATTGGAACAATTTTTTTCGTGTCTTCATTTCTCTGTGCAATTTTTGTGCACTTTTTTGTTTTGTTCTTCTGTACAATTTTATGTACACAGTTCTCGCGTCTTCTTTTTTGTAGAATTTTATGTAAAACTGTCTTCCGTTTTTGTTTTTTTTCTTTTTCCTTTTTTGTGTGTGTGTGTTTTTGTTCTTTTTTTACATGCGCCAGCACCAAAACCGCAAGGTTGTTCCTGGGCACAAATAAAAACTATTCTTGATTCTTGATTATTATTATTATTATTATTATTATTATTATTATTATTATTATTATTATTATTATTATTATTATTATTATTATTATTATTATTATTATTATTATTATTATTATTATTATTATTATTATTATGTGCTAATTGTCACCTTAAACTCGTATAGAGAGGTCCGCCGCCATCGATAAAGCTATTCGGCAAGAATATTTTCTTTATCAACAGTTTCGTTTTCTAGTTTGGTATCTCAGAAGAAAGAAACAAACGAAAAAACACCATGTGAAAAATAGGCAAAATATAAAGTCTTTTTTTTTTTTTTTTTACGAACAAACAGGCACATTATTTTCGATGCCGAACAGAACTTTGGTTAGATATCTTACCTTTGATGTATTAGTTTTTCCTTTCCAGTCAAACGGTTCGCGGTCACCCTAAGAAAGATAAAATGCATTAAAAATAAAATTTAACACAGTGTCCAACGCTCTAAAAAAATCCCGCGCGGTCATTTATTTATTTTTTCGCAAAACACCCGGGGGTGCCGATAGGCCCTTTTCAAAAGTCCCTGAAATTTCGCGCACTCTGAGCATCTATTGGACGCGAGTGCCGCGTCAGCATTCGGCGAGGACTCGGATCCAATCACATGTTTTGCGTCCATGGATGGATGCAGGGATGGATGCTAACGGCTGTACCCTTCTGTAATGGGCGGTAGCTTGCGCCACCTAGCCTAGAAACCAAAAGGAGCGACCACCGATGTTGTCTATTTTTTTTTCTTTTTTTTTTTTAATGTTTAAACGTATTTTTAGTTTTGCCATTCGCCGTGTACCCTCTGTAGATTGCAGCCATTAGCTCTTCCGAGTGTTTTACGTGAAACCAGGGGCACTGGATTTCTTAAATCGCCGTCAAAATAATAACGCCTCGTACCAAAAAAAACAACAACAAAAAAACCTCTTTACAGATTTCGACAAAAACCCCGAGACTGGGACAAAAAGGGACGGACAAACACAGTCTCGGGGGTTTTGTCGAAATGTTTAACCACCACCAGCTCGTTTGCGCCCTTACCTTTTGTTCACTCTTTACAGACATGCACGAGGCCTATCCAGCATGTAAAGTAGCGCTTCTAAAACAACTTAAACGGACCGCAAAAAAAGAAACATGAAATCGGTTTTTAAACGTGTTGCGTTGCAATTTGCTACAAATATGCAACCACATGATTGCATATTTGTATCATTACCTTGTTCAAAAAAGAAAAAACCGTTTCAGGCTACCTGCCACAGCCTTCGCAGACGCCGTCATGAAAGGGGCTCGCCTAGTTAAATCTGCCACCGACAGGTGTCGGAAGCGTCGAGAGGTTTCCGAAGATCGTCTGCTAAGCTCGGTGCCGGCGCGCTCGACGCTTCCGACATCTGTCGGTGGCAGATTTAACTAGGCGAGCTGGGTTATGGCATCGTCTGCGAATGCCGCGACAAATAACCCGAAACAGGATTTTTTTTTTTTACTTCTATTATTTAATAATTTTACCCAAGGCTTCCACCAGGTTGTTGCATCTTTGGAGTAAATTGCCGCGCGATATGTTGAGAAACCGACTTTTGTGGGCCGTCTAAAGTGCTTTCGAAGCGTTAGTTTACACGGTGTATATAGATATTCTTTTTATTCGAAACAAATTTTTAAAAAAGGCGTTTCTTTACTGTTACGTGAATTCCGTCTTCACTACATATGTCTTCAGCTCGGCGGACATATGGGGGGGGGGGGGGGGGGGGGAACAACCGTCACAGCCTGGTGAATAGTTAACTAACATTCATTAACTTAACTTTTTATTTGTTGAAAAGAAACATACGATTATACTTGGAAATTTTCTTAGCGTCAAGTAAAACCACTAAATCAGCAATTTTTGAGAACGCCTTTGAGCACGTCAAAAGTGCAGTAGTACGCTAAAGCTAGGACCCCTCGAATGTGCGCCGAGCTCAAGAAACAAATATAGTGAAGACGACATGCACGGTAGCAGTGAAGACACCTTTCTTTATATCTGCTTGAATAAAAAATATCACCCGGTAGATATATGTACGAAGCAAACAGGCTTCGAGAATGCCTGGGACGCCGAATATTCCGCCACCGTGTCTACAGTAAACACCGCATTTCTTTTATTATTATTTTTTTCATGATGTTCGAGCAGTGCGACTGTGGTTTCTTGGCACGTTTACACTCAGTGCGGATTCGCGGGGGGATCCGCGCAGCCGTAAAGCGGGTTTTGGGCCCGGGTGGCGAGCATTCAACTCCTCGCTGGCGGAAAATCCGGATAAGGGTCCCGGACGCGCATTGCCGTTTGCTCACGGAATAAAACCACGGAGCAAATCCAGGGCCCTGATTGGTCTATTTGAACGTCCCGCTCTTTCGCAAGCAGGAAGGCGACAATGGCCCTTCGGCGCTTGTTTGTTTGTTGTTGGAGGTAAGAAGACAGCTCTTTCTCCGAAGACGGGGTTGCCCCTTCTTGGAGGTGCAGTGGCGGACGGCGGGGTTCACTGGGGCGCGTGTTAAACGCTTCGCGGCGACAGTGTGCTTCGCGGCGACAGTGTGCTTCGCGGCGACAGTGTGCGGCGGCTTGCACCACATTACAAGGCGACACGATGGCCGCCGCTCACGATGAATGCTCGGCGGTAAACAGACGAAGGCTAGTTTTGGTGGCGAATACAAACACCCCAACACCGCGTGGCGGAGCGTTTAAAACGTCGAAATCTCTCGAGGCGGCATCTCCATATTCGAGGCGGGCATCTGTGTGCACTTTTTAACCCGCTGGTGGCTCGCACATTTCTGAGAGGCGTCAAAAAATGGCGAATCAGGGGGCGCCGGATTCGCCCCCTGGGTTTTACTCCGTGAGGAAGCAGGTGATATAAGCGGCCGGGATTCATCCATACTTTCTTCCAGCGACGAGTCGATTTTGCCAACCCGGCTCCGAAATCCCCTTTCCGCCTGCGCGGATCCGCCCGCGAATACGCGAGTGTAAACGCGCCGTTGAGAGTGTATAGTTCAGCTTGCGTAATTCGGAAAGAAAGGCTAACGGACGGCACATAGTTACCATCACTTTAAAGCGGAGGTACGCCTTTGAGTAGCAGATGCCAATGTTCTTCAGCTGAAAGCGGGACAACACAAATACCATTCAGATTAATCAAAGAACAGCGTTTTCTCCAGCGTTTCTATACGCGAATGCGGTGAAAAGAAGTTTAACGTTTCGCGGTTTTATAAAGGGAATCTGGAGTGATTTTATATTTAAAAATATGGATTTTTATTTTTTTTTATTTTGGATGTAGGCATACTCTAAATAACGTGCCTAATGTTTATTATTTACGTTATTAAAAAGGGCGTTCTAATCCGGAGTTACAATTTCGCCATGAGCTATTTCGTGCTTCTATTTGGGGACGAGGTGTCGAAATGCAAGCCTGCTTCGGAATCGCTTCTCACTCAGAATGAGTCTCCCGGCGTAAATATTTTTATCGCTTTTTTTATTGATTAATATTATTTTGTCATAGCGTTTGCAGCAGACTTGTACGGTAATCATTACAAGCAATGATATGACTTGTAATCTATTACTTTTGGGGATAATTTCGTAATCATTTCACGACATTCATTAGGAAGTAATCGGAACAGTATTGCAATTACTGATTACTTTTGAAAGTATTACAATTACTCGTAACCTTTACTATTTGTTCTCCTCTTTCTAATATCGAACTTTGTTGGTACAATTTTTTTTATCAAGGAATCATCAAACGAACACTTCAAAAGGAGGACATATAATCTGCCAAAAGGGGTGGACTGAGAAGATACCTTCTAGTTTGGTGATTCTAATCCAACGATGGGCAGTACGAAGTAATCGAAAAACTAACGATTACTTTTCTTTTTAAATACGGCCAATTACTCTGCTTTTTAGCTAATCAAGTAATCTACTTCAATACTTTTCAACCAAGTGTAGCTGTAATTGTATTCGATTGTTGTTGTTGTTGTTTTTTAGTAACACGTATAAGACTGGTCCGCAGTAACTTAACGAATGTGGTTTGGAGAGTTGCAATTTCCCTATGAATGACTCCAAAACCTCCTTCCATTTTATGTCGACGTGCCGAAATATCACAATCGTACTCAAAATGATTGTGACAGCGTAATAATTACGCCATTATTTCTTTTTATTTTTTTAATAAAATTGAATGTTATGACATGCATTTCTTTTGCAGGCATTAGAAATATCTGTTTTGTCATAGTTGAGTGTCGCTTTAAGACGGCAACTGCGACAAGCACTGTCATAGCCTTACCCCTCGTCCCGTGGTGCACACTACGTTGAGATCACGCCCAGTCAAGTCGCGGTATAAACACCCTTTGGTCTTCGTTGCAAACCTGGGATGTCTCTGTAACAAAAACGCCGGCAAATCAGCTGCTGTGGCAAGCTTCGCGATGACAATGATTTGACCTGCATATCCAACACACTTCAAAAGCGCGACACTAGCTTGATCGTGCTGATAAACACCGGAGAGCACTGAATGGGTCGTAATTGAGCTGGGCCCATGCCATGTGTGCGTCTGACGTCATTGAACGTTAAAGTCATAAAGTCGCGTGACTTCGAAGTCATACGACGTCGGTGTGTCATATGACGTCACGCGCGGACGTCATGGTGTCAGATGGTGTCATATTGTCACGCGATGTATACTGTCCTTCGTGACGGTTTTCTCATAGAATGAAACACAGTATCCTAAAGCTTATACAAGCTTGATCATGCTGACAGATACCGGACAGCACAGGATATGTTGAGCACAAACGACACATTAATTTTGGATGTACGTAGAGACTTTGGTGTAATTGCACATATAAATACTGCGTCGTGACTTCTTCATGCAACCTCATATCATGGGGCGTCAATTTTCTTGTTAAATTAAGCGGGCAATTACGTGATGTGACGTGAATTTAACGGGAAAACGTGGTGTGACGCGAGTTTCACCGATAAATCTAGACGGAGAACAAGACGTCACGTAACTTGAGGTCACATGACAGGATCACGTGACATGCCTTAATTGTGATGTCATGTGACGTCACGTGACGTGACATCAACGCTGATTCCTGTACTTCGGGTGCTGTGTCAAGATGCCCACACGTCACCCCGATTGGCGCACGGGGGCGTTCGGCGCTTGCCAAGTTATGCCGACGCAAAGTGTCCTTAGAGCCCCCGAGAGGGCTACGCTTTCAAGCAACGGCACGATCAGGCCTTCAGCCATCTTCGTGCTGAAGATCGGTGTTGCCAGACACCTAAAAATTTATCTGAAATCGCTGGAAGCGTTTTCTCATCCTCCAGAAACGTTAAAACGCTCCGCAACAACGCCAATTCAACCCCCCCCCCCCCCCCTCCCAAAGCTAAAAAAAAAAAAAATGCTCCTTTTTTTTTATGGATAGAGGAAAATCGCAAAAGCCGTTTAGTTCATGCTGTTCCTCACAGATGACACAAAATAAAGCAAAAACGTGAATTTCTTTTTTGCGGCGAATACCCGAGAGCATTCAGCAGATGCGAGCGTGTGTTGTGCCATCTGTGAATAGTAACGGAAAACAACATTTTTTGTTTCTTTTTCTTTTTTTGCCGGGGGGTTACGAATTTTTTTTGTGAAACCTATACTCATAAAGTGTAAGTAGGATAAACGCACAACCTAAGGACACCTTGAGAAACCTTTTGCTGCACTCCGTTTAATGGTTTATTTATACGACTTAGCTTACGCCCGAACACACTTTTCAATGTGCACTTTTCAAAAGTCCATCAGCCAACACTGGCGGCCGCCACAATCTGGGACTCAGTTCCTGCGCGAAGCGTCTGATTGGACCCGAGTCGAGGCCGAGCGCTGACGCAATGCTCCTGTCGAACAGATCTGCACCCGGAGACGTCCCGAACGCCGAATGCGTGCTTGGGAGAGGGCGTGCACTTTCGAAAAGGGCCGCTACCCCCTAGAACAGAAGGCCTGTTCATGACGTCATCATTGGTGGACCCCGATCCTCCTCCAAGCGGCAAGAGCGCCAAAGCTCGACGAGAGTCAGACACGTCTGTCTTGCCGACGCCGCATGGTAGCGTCGCACTCTTTGCGAGACGCTGCGAGGCGTGCTGGCCGCGTTCCTGACGCGAGCTACGCGGCACTACGTGGATCCACTAGTGATGACGTTTAGGAGGGAAAGGCGCAGGCCTTGTTTCCTAGGTTGTATTCAATGCACCCGCTCCGATCAAGTAAAATGGCGTGGCCCACCAGAAAATTGATAAAACGAGCGCCGATACTTCACAGCCTTAATCTGGTTCCATATAGGTTCCGGTTAAATTAGCGTTCCGCATATTCTCTTAGAACAAATCCGATTTTCATTGGGATCGGATATCATAGGTGGAACGCGGGTTCTGTTCCTTTCTTTTTTTTAATGCTGGACCTCGTTGATGACATGGGGAGTGTCGTTCCTAGGGTGCCTTCATGTGCGCTTTGCTTGGGGTGATGACATCTGGCCATTTTGTTTCGAACGCTTATTTTTATTTTTTGTTCTGAAGCGCGTGAAAGGGCGTGTCCCTGCACGCGCTCGTGGCGCTGACTGTGTTACGGCGACATTTTGTTTTTGTCGATTTCTTTGTATTTTCCCTGTGGGCGCGTGCTGTCGGCATCGGGTACTACAAACGATGGCATCACCCTAAACAGAAGGGCATTGAGGCACACTAGTCGTTCCACTTACATGTCCTTCCACTTACATGTCGATCCACGTACTCCTGCTCCACTTAAGCGCTAATGTTCTCAAATTAAAACTAGTGTTTTTTCTTTCTCTTACATTTATCGTTTACAAATGTTCATGATGTGAAACACTGCTTTGTAGGCGCCAACGCGCTGTTTACATGCAAGCCCACACGAGGTGTGGGCAAACGAGCGCTTCCCGCACGAGGTGTGGGCACTGCGCATGCGCACTGCCAATAGCAGCGCCACCGTAGCTGCGTGACGTCAGGACCGCGCGTTGGTGTATAATTACGAAAAATTTAAAATTCTAGGAAACACTGATACCTATAAAGTACGAAGTACGTAAACCAGGTTTCCAACTGGTTATTCAACGGATCGTTTTTTGCAAAAAAAAAGGTCAGGTTCTAACTGGAACCTAAGTGGGACAAGGTTAAGGGTTTATGTGTAACTTATTGCGTTGCTCCAGATGTCACCTCGGCCCTGCCGGGAGCACGATGTAAGATACATGTATATAGGTCAGGACACAGCACGGCTAACGCTGCGACGCGATTGATCAGATAAAGTCATATTGGCACGCGCCCGAGTAGCCTATGCCGACAGCGCCTCCACCGTGCAGACGGTGCAACTGAGGAAAAAAGAAGCAAACAAAACCAAAAACGTATCTCGTTTCTATGGCACCCGGACTCCCGCTCTTTCCGCTCTAAGCGCCTGCTCTGACCTTGACGGACGCTGGCTCGAACACCGCGCCAGAGACAGCTCTCCGCTTCAACGCATTCATGAAGCTCATTGCCGCCGTTGGGGCACCAAACTAAGGTCAATGACGAAGCAGTGTCTAAGCAGCACGCGTAGAACAAGTTACAAGTTCTGCATGACGTGGAGGACCCAGAAAACAAATTTAAAAACAAGCCCGTACGTGTCCCATAGAAAAGCATATGAGAAACCGGTGCCGTGACAAGTAGCCATTAGCCACTTGTCGAGGAGACATCTGGTGGCGCTGCTTGCAACCAAGGCGGAAAAGGGACTTTATCTGGCAGCTGTGACACGCGCAGTTTCAAGGCCTTAACACCGTGGCCAGGAGTCGGCTTACTTTGTTCATCTTTTCGATTCTACGAATCATCGTTTTTGAAGGTGACTGGCCGCCCATATTAGGACCCCAGCCGGATTCCGTGTCCACACACCTAAGAAACTTCGTTATCGCTGCAAAAGAAAAAAAAAAAATTGAACTCAATGACCTCCCGTTGAAGATCTGGGGCACGGTGGAAGAAGAGAGAGGTGTTCGAAAGGGGCCACAAAGCAAGTGTTTCGAGGGCTCGCTTCCATTTCAGAGAAACGCCGTGAGATGGCGCGGCATGACAGGAGCTCAACGAATCCTCCTTAGGCGTGCAAACGCTTTCAATGCCTCGCGGCGCGCTACCGCGCATGCGCGGGAAGCCCCATGCAGTTCGACAGCCCCGCCGGGAATTGCGCGAAAGCCTGAATGGTATTTCGACATCCTTTTTGGCCTTGTTTTAAATGTTCCTACATGCTTGTTTTCTCCCACCGTACCCTGAAATTTGAGTCTTTGCGTCTCTAATATAAAAATTGAACTCATTGTAAAAAAGAAAAATTGAAAAAATACGCTGCGTCGATTATTCTGCAAAGCATGAGACAGAGTCAATCGATGCAATCTACGAAAGAGGATCACCGAATTACTGGCTCAAAGATATGTTTAGACATAAAACAAAAAAACAAAAACAAAAAAAAAACGTTTGTGATGTGACAGTGGGCATGATGTTTCACATGCTTACAGCATGCTCAGTATCACAGCGCAGTATCCTCTTTTTACGTCTTTTTGTCATTTCAAGTCAAATCAAATCCGTTTATTTTAGAATTATTTGCCGTGCAGCGCTCGGCTCTCTCAAGTGTTTTGACGCAAAGTGGACGCACCACATTTGAGAGTAACCGCATTTTACTCTGCGCCTCGGATTTAGGCGCTCAGTATGCATTGACGAGCAAATACGCGCATTGGTGGACTGAAACTTTGTTTCACTCTTGAGATTGTGAAAAAGCCCTTTGGTGCTTCTTTTGTGCTTAAAGGGAAATTATTTTTACAAAGTGTCAAAGTGCAGACGAGCTGATGCGTATTAATCATGATGTTTAAATCCTGAGACTGGGGAGGAAACTTGGAGGTAAATTAGAACGAACTTAAGAAAGTTGCCAGAGGAGCGTCTCAAACTCGGCTAACCAAATTTATTTTTTTACAAAGCTTTTGTATTCCTCTACTAAAGTCGTCCCCAACGCTAAAAAACAAACAAAGCAAGGAAATTTTGGTTTTAGGATGATTCAAATTCTAAGCCAGTTCGTTCCGAACACACCAAGGCAGAAAAACAATAACAACAGGGCCAGGAGCCTGAACCCGACCGGAACAGATCAACAAAACCCTTTGACACACAGATACACGTAATAATAGAAGAAAGATGTGCCTTGAGATTAATTTTATATTATTTCAATTATCTTTCCTGTTTGTTTGTTTTTTGGAGCTTAACTGATACTAAATTTGTTTGGTAATTTGCTGAAAAAAAAACGTACCTAAAAATGAAGCGCATAAAAAGCGAGGATTTTTTTCCAAAAACAAATCATCTTAAATTCAATAAAAAATATTTCAACAAATTAAACAGTTTGATTTGAGTGCTGCGACATTTTACGAAACTTCCGACATGTGCATGCTGCAAACAGAGGGGTGTGTTACCAAGTCCTAGCCGGAGACCCCACTCTAATTTCGAAAAGGAATTTGCCGTAGCAAATAAAGTACATTCACTTCACCCTCTTTTTTCTTTCTTTTTTTAATGCAAAGATACAATTTTGCAATCCTCCCTGTGGAAGACTCTAGATCTATTTTCACTATCTTTAGATCTCTAACCAGTAGCAGCACCAACCCTGCAGACTACATTTTTAATCAATCGTCTTATTCAGCTTCCACATATTCTATCTTCAGCAAATCAAGTGTTTATGTGGATCGGGGATTATTTAGGTAAAATGTCAAATCTCTTCGGGTTTTTTTTTTAAAGTCTAAAACATACGTGTTATGTAGAGTGTCGTTCCACTTACATGCCGTTCCACTTACTCTGTCTCACTTGAGCACCAATCCGCTCCAGCTAAAACTTCAAAAGCGTCTTTTTTAACGTTGATTGTTTACAATTATTGACTCTCTGAAACGCTGCTCCGTAAAAATAGGGTGTGCATTTTCCGGTTTTAACCGAAAAACACCGATAAACATCCGTCGGTGACGAAAATATAAAATCGGTTAAAACCGAAAAACACTGGTGGTTGGATATTTTCGCCCTGGTTAAAACCGAAAAACACCGGTCGTTGCTAGTTTCCGACCTAGCGAAACCCTTTCCCCGTAGAGGTTCGTCAAGCGTGTTATCTCGTGGATCCTGCATTCTTCCAGTGTTTATACATGGCTTGCAGGTGGCGTCAGTCCGCCCTCCCTTCTGTGGGTCAAAAGCGTCTAGTGAACGCAGTGGAAGCTAAGCTCTCATACGCCTTTCCCCCATTGTGTCTCCCATGGCCCCCTTTTGTGGACAAATTAACGCAGTGGAGGGTAGGCTCTCACGTGCCTTTTCCTCATTGTGTCTGGCCAAGTGATATCGGTGCAAGCCATGTATTTAGAGGTTGCTGTGGTTCCTGGAAGACACTGCCAACGTCCGTGTCGTACAGGAGCGTGCGTTTTCATAAATGCGGGTTGCGAACCGCAAGGAACGTGCTGCCATGACGGCAGCACGTTTCTTGCGTGTAGCTGCAAGCATGAAAGTATGCTTGCATCTACTACAATAACCAAGTGTCAGAAATAGTTGCTTCCTAGAGAAGAAGTGTATGAACTATATGTGAATAAAATTGGAAATCTTTTTCTGCGATCAATCGCTTTTTTTTCACCGATAATCACCGATTTTAGCCTCATCGTGAGACGTTCCTCCGAAATACTCCGGTGTTTTGAAAATAAATAAACACCGAAAAACATCCGCCGATTTTTCTCACAAATAAACACCGGAAAGTACACACCCTACGTATAAACTACAAAGTACCTATTTAGAATTATTTTCAGCGCTACTCACTACCAAGTACGCGCATCACGATTCCTCCTGGTTAAGCGGAACTTTTTTCGTAAAGAAGTTCCGGTCATGACCGGTAAGTGAAACCAGATTAAACGAAGCAACAAGTGTGAACATTTCTCATGCCCTGCGTTTCTTCACCCCTCAGTTACCATAAAAAGGATTATTAATTCCTCTGTGCGGCGAATAGTTCTCTGCAAGTCAGCTACGGCTCCCAGTCTCTTAAGATAGCTAATCGCAAAAATATACACTCGCCTGGACAAAGTGCCAACAATCCGAAAGATTTAAGAAGAGATCCCACCAGGTCAAGCATGCCTGAGGCCCAGCGGGGGCCTTACTGCAGAAAATCACGCTTACTTTTCCTGCATTCCGCTAAGCTGGTGATCCTGACTTCAGCGCGGGCTTTCGTAGCCACGATGACAAGACCGAAAACCACAGCTAGGCCTGGTAACTTAGCCATGGCGTCCCCCAGTGAAACTCACAACATGGACGAAAGCTTTCGTAGCTCCGAATCGAGCTCGGCTCAAATTTGGCGTCCTTCCCTAAACATGTGTGGTTTCCAAAAAGCTCAGTTGTTTTACTCGCGTGACTTCTGACCACTCAATCAGACGACGACACGTACTTCCAGAACGAACGGGAAAGGGAGCCTGGTCACGTCGCGTGACCAGGCTCTCGTTTGCTGCACGTGCGATGGAGGAATGCTCATGTGGTAGGAATGAAACAACTCATCGGTCCGCCCTAAATGTTGCTTGCCATTCGCTGTCAGCTTCAAAAAGGTAGTGTTTACGCCTCTGGAAGAAAGGAGTGTTTTTCTAAAGCGTGTTTCGTCGGGACTCTATTATTCTAGTTCTCGAACAGTCACGTTCTGACACTTAATTCCTCCAGAGTGTATCTGGAATAATGCGAGTTGGGTTAGCCCTGGCAATTCCGACGAGTCAAAAGAACGCACAGCTACATTAGGAAATGTTCTCAGAAGCGATCTTCGAAAAACGCATTTCAACTTCACTGTCTCTAGTAGCTAGAGTCTATAGTCGTTAACTGCTTATTAAAAACGTAAGAACAATCAGGCTCACACCTTTTGCTTCGCCATTTCTTCGCCGTTCTTATCGGCTGACGTCTCGCTCTCATTGACTGCGGAGCAATCATATATAGTGTTCCAGTGAAGTTCTCTCTCTCGCATTGAGCTCCGGTGAAGCTTAAGTGAAGCTCTCTCTCTAGAGCCATCAGTGAGCAGCGAGAACTCACCCGCTCGCGACCGCGTGACCACGTGCTGGCGGGCGCAGCGGTCCGGCCATACCCGTCCGGCCCTGTCCCCCTCCCTCTACGGCTTTTGGCGGTTGCTCGCGGTATCTGACGGTTTTGTGAACCTAGGATAGATGGCGCCACTAAAACTCCGTACAATAAAAGTTTTGTCGATGATACCAGGGTTTTGACGCATTTATATTTATGTTGGAACGACACGATTTATAAAAAAAGTTACCTTTTATCGAGCAGGTATTCGCATAACTTGGTATCTTTCTACAAGACCCCCATTGACGTCATGCCGCGTGTTTCTCGTGGGCGGCGCTCACGGCTGCAGGTCGAGGAATATTCCAATTTTGGTTTCGCGATTACGCGGCGGAATTGCAACATTTCGAAGGAAGGAGGAGTGTTTTCTGTCCTTTGTGACAAGGTGAACAATTTCAAAAGTAGAAGATGCCAATTCTTTCAACGGTAAAATCGTTGCCCAGCTCCTTTAGGGGGAACAAATTTAGGTGTGTTTTTTTTTTAATTTATGCAAATCAGCAGGGTCAACGTATGTGCTAGACATTTAAGTTTTTGTTTCTTGTTTTTTTTTTTAGGAGTTTACAAATTTTGCCACATCATCGCTAGTTTGTATTTTTACTACAACCGTGTTCTCAGCCTTCCTTGCAAAGATTTGACCGTTCCTCACCCACACATATTTCCAGTTCGATTCCCTTTAAAGCCGGGGTCCCACTGCTCAGACATCATACAAAAGACGGAATGCAGAACAAGAGTCACCGCAATATCCCTGGTTCGAATGCCGCGTGCCCAAGTTTCTCCTCG